AAATGCCTTTTGGAAAGAGAGGATATATGAAATTGAGTGAAAACTTGAGGTCCAACTGTGACTGCGATACCAGCTAAACGTCCAAGGCTGGAAATTGGCATGATTTCGCTGGCAGAGGAATAAGGACAGTTTGTATTGCTCGAGGTTGCCCTGGTAACAAGACCAACTTAAGAAAACGAGGTCCAACCACTTGCTTGGGAGTGTTGTTGAACTGGCACTGTAATAACTGCATCCTTATAGCCCATTAAGGGAGCGAAAATGAATTTAGTTATTATCAAATGCTTGATGATACCTTCAAAACTACCAATTTGGTATGAAGTAGTGTCGTCGACATCGTGCCACTGAGGCCGTCCTGTATAGCCTTGAAAGTCGACACAGGTTGGCCTGTGACCCGGTGGCCCTCGTGGATGTTGGTGGAAGGGATAATTTGTCTCTTGGCCCTAATGAATCCCACACTGAGAGAAGGCATTTTAGTGAGGGGCTTGAGCCATCAATTCGTAAAGTCATCTTAACCGACGTGCGTTAATTCAAGTTTTCTTGAGTGGGTAGGCTTTCGAGACTACCAGAAAATCAGGTGTATTAGTTGTTTTAAGCCTATTTCGTTGGAGGTGATGAAGGACTGTTAGTTGCATTTTCCTACAATCCCAAAAAAGTAGAGCTGATACTCTCCAGCGAACTTCGCAAAGCCTTGCCTTCCCAAAAGGTGTTCTCATCCAGGCTGGAGTTTTTAGCTCGCAATGTCTGATACTTTCCAATCTGAAATTCATTGGAAAACTGCAGCTCTACTCATATCAATTTGGGAAAATTCAACTACCCGTCCTTCATCATCTCAAACGAAATGGGGAGAAGACAACTAATGCATTCGCGTTTTCACTTTCTCAACTCACCTCAAAGGCCAATTTCACCGTACTCTCGCCTTCAATATCGAGTTTCGGAAGAGGGGCGATCGCGATTCCGGTGTGCGTCATCAGGCCGCCGCTGTACTGCGTGCCCACGGACGAATCGACCACTGCGTTGTAGAAGGCGTCGTGATGGATCCAGATCTCGGCATATTCCCCCTTGGCGCCCCATTGATTGAGGGCGACAGCAAATCGGAGGCGACCGTGTTTGTCGACGCGCGAGAGCAGGTAACTGCGCCCCGGTCGCGACCTCCAATGGGGCACAATGTGGGCAATGAAACTGATCGGCTGACTGAGGTCCCGTTGGAGGTGGCTGCGTGGGAAAACACGCGAAATGGGCAGTGGAGGTGGAAGAGGCCGTTGCAGAGAGACGAAGGAGTTCCACTGACGTGTGGTATCTCCGGCGTCACGGTCTCCCGCCAAACTGATCTGAGGCCCAGGCGGCGGTGGCGGAAGCAGCTTGCCAAGGTCAACTGTGCGGGGCAGAAACAAATGTACGAGGAGGGGGCCTTTCAACATTCGTGTGGGGACCATTTATGAAGATCTCTTGACTCCGGTTGGGAAAAGATGTGTCCGACAAATCTGTAGGGCATACCCTTCTGAGGACACGTGACGGGCTAAAACAAGTGTCACACCAAAAGTGTGATTCAAAACAAATAAAGACCAAGTTGGTGTTGCCTCTATTTCGGTCTAGGAGCTATTTCGCTGCACATACAACATGGGAAATGACGTCTCGAATAGTCGGGCTACAATTTGAGAGAGAGAGAGAGAGAGAGAGGAAAGAGACGGATCGTGTATGACACGACGGACACTTAAACAGGACTTGAATGAAGTGGATTGCTGACTGAAAGAACCCAAAAGTGGTTTGGTCCCGTTTGTGCAACTGGGTCGGTCTTCGTAGTCATGACAATTCCCAGCGTCGGACAGTGTACTTAGTACCCTCTCAAACGTTCCGACTAAATAGTAGTCAACACCAAATTATAACTTATCGAGGAGGCAAGTAAAGTCCATCCCTTGCTGAAATGTCCACGTTTGACAGACTATGGGAATTTCACGTCTAAGAGTAAGATTATGGAGTCCATTAAAACAAATGTAATTATCACCATAGGCGACTGGCGCCAAGGGTGAGGTGAGACTAAATAACTGGGTTTCTATGAATCTCTTAGGATTTTATTTCGTATGAAAGTGTATGCTGAAGAGATCCATTTGCTGATCTGACCAGAAGACGACGTCCAATTTCCGTTGTTCTGCAGTCGTTTAACTTTACTACGACGTTCAAATTGACGAAGTCCACGAGACCTCGTTTGGGTGGAAATGGGCTTAGTTTTTGTCCCATCCCAATCCTGCAAGTCTCGAGTTAATATTAAGTCAACAAGAAATTCCAGCCCTATCTTACATTTAAAAAATACTCAACTAAAAAACGAAAATTTACTGATCATGATAACTAGGTAGATATAGAGTTATGTTACTTTTACTTGAGTGTGCATATTTGCGTGCGCGTGTGCGTGTGTGTATGTAAATGCAAATGGCTAATGCCGGGATCTGATCCTCAATGCTTAATGATCTACAGAACAGCCTGACCGAGACTGCGTAAGTTCGTAAGCAACTCTGGTTAATAACATGAGATGTAAGCTTGTGAGCCTGACTTGGCTCTGATTTGCAAAAGGTATATTTTCATACATTGTATGTGAATACAATTTGGGTCTCGATGAGTCTCTTGTTTCAAAAATGATGAGCTCACTTCCACATCTAATAAAAGTATTTGGTGAAGAGACTCAAAGTTCGATCCCTTCATAAGACGACGAGGGATTCCTCTTAGCCAGGTGTCGATTGGCTTCTTGTTGATGCTGTTTCCGAGGCAATCTTCTTCGATTCCATTGAAAATGTGCTAAGCTTTTGTGCATCATATGACAGACATCTTCAGAGCAGGGTATCATGCTTGCAACTATGTTCTGTCTAACGAGTCAAGAAAACTCACTTGCTCATCCCTAAATGTTGCATGTATACCTTAAATCTAAGCTCATTTATAATATATAAATTTATTTGGTTATTTCCAGTCTTATATCAATCTCAAAGCATACGATTGTGTCTGTATCTGTTTGTGTATGTGCCTGCATGTGCTCTTAGATGTAAGAAACCAGAAGTGAAGACTCAAAGTAATTCTCATACAGACTAGATTGAATTGCACTACATTTTCAAAGATGCCTGACCTCGTAAACAAGAGGAATGAGTATTGGAAAGTGAGGGTTAAATATTTGTGGTTGTTGGATTGGCTTAA